AATAAAAAGAGGAAACAATTCAGATTACTGCACATGTGGGTAAAAACAAAAACAACAACAAAAAAGGGGTAGTTCCAAATGCCATTTTTGCACAGTGTTAGGAATTGTAAAGTCCACAGAGGTGTTCCTTGCACAAAAAGAAATTAAGTATTTTTTAATGGGGAGGGAGGGAAGATCTTAAAAACTAAAATAAAATTCAAACTCTACTTCTGTTGTCTATTATTTTATTGAGCTAATGATGTATTGGGGGAAAAATACCTTTTTATACTCTTTTATCATGGTACTGTAACTGTATCCATATTATAAATATAATAACCTTGAGGATTTTTTAATTATTTTTTTATGTCCAAGTGCCCACGTGAATCTGCTGGTAAAATTGAGCACTTGTGTATAAATTCTATTTCCTCTGTGTGTTTTACGAAGTATTTATACTCTGGTGCAACTAACTACTGTGTGAGGAATTGGTCCATGTGCAATAAATACCAATGAAGCACAATGAAGGCTATGTACCGTGTGTCTGTAAGGGGTCAGTGATTGTGGAAAAGACAGTTTGCTTTGTGCAAAATACAGGTTTCCCAGAGAGCTCTTTTAATAGCTTTTCATGACTCAGTAAGATAGCAAAATGTCTCTAAACCAAATAAGGCATCACCTACTGAGAGCTGCAGACTCGCCCTAAGGGTTCACAACCGGCTTGAAGGTATTCTAGACTCCTCGGAGGTGTTCTCAAGACCCCGCGGCTGCCCTGCCTTAAGAAGTAACATTTGGAATTGTGTATCCTTCTAAAGAAAAGTGACCGTCAAGCCAAGTAACTGGGCTGCAACTTGGCACAGAAACGCAGGAAAGAAGACTAACTCGTCGAACACTCTGCCTACTTGGAATCCGGTAAGTGGCTTCCACGACTTTTTGTTTTCCATTAGAAAATCACAGCCCACAGATGATGGGTGTGTGCACATTTCTCCAGTGGCTGTTTAGAACGAATCATGTTTCCACGGTTAAGCAGAAATTTATAAGAGAGCTGTTCAGTAAATATTTTTTTTCTCTTGTGTAATGAAATAGACCGTTTCAGCAGAAGTTCTGGGTGGGCAGGTCACAGGTTAAAAAGCAAATGTGAAATTTGTAAACTTCCTGACAAAATTATGACACCCAACGGATAGGATGGTTTTCATAAAATTAGCACCTAAGGGAAGTAGAGTGACATTTTAACCTGGGATTCGTTCTACATTCTCCAGAATACGTTGACTTAAGGGTTTATCTTTGTATTTTCAAACCGGCTCTTCATTTCATGGTCATGCAGTAAAGAAACCAAAGTGAAGAAGACCAAGTGTGGGCTCGTCCTGAGCCTTAACATGAGCAAATGACTCTCCACTAAGGAAAGCCAGCTCTGATCGTTTTTTTTTTTTTTTCACTGGGCTGTTGCAAAGACCAGGAGATAGTCTTCGGAGGAAGGTCCATGATGTAGGTGAAGGTCAGTGATGTAGGTGCTGTAGAGACCAGCAGAAGGTTGCGGGAACAGTAGTGGTTCCCACACAAGCTGCTATGAAGTTTAACCCCTTTCTCCAGAAAAAAAATAAAAATGCGTGTGTGGGGGGGTGGCAAAACTTTGAAAACACCAATCTAAATACTTAAAGAAACTAATTTTGGAGACTGTAGACTCAATTTCAGGATGAAATCTCACTATCCTTTCCCCTAGGTACTAAATACAGTCATTTCTCTCCTTCCTACCCCCACCGTGAGCATGTAAGATGTCTTTTATTAGGGGCTTTTTCCCTCTTTATTTTAAATTATACTACACAATTAATAGGTTAAATGTCTAAAGTTTCATCTGAAGAATACTGAAGTACCAGGTTAAAACTTCACGTTCTCCGTTCCCTTACTATCTGCTTATTGTGTATAGATGTCTTTACATTTAAATAAAAAGGAAATTTCCCAGCCCTGAAGCATACATACAGGCCCATCGGACCTCAGGTCTTAAAATTCTGAAAAGTCCTTTAAACTTTAATAGCAAATATATATAACTTAACTGCCTACTAGACAGCTCTAAGCTCTTTAGGGAATTAGAAGAGGCCACAATAATCCGGGGACCAGTTTACATTTATTTGTAGGAAATGGAAAAAGATTTTTCCGTGATCCCCGAATTCTCTAAGGATTATAAGGATTCAAAAACAGAACTGTGCTAGTGATTCCAGCTACCCATGAAAACTGCTTTTTGCTGTTGCTAAAGAGGCATTCGTTTATAGTGGAAATATGGGAAGCTGGGCTGGCTGTCCCATTAGCTGAAGCAGTGGAAGAAACTGCCAATCCCACTTAATCTGGTAAAACAATGCACAACAGAAGTGACAGGTAGAGGGCTACAAATATGCAGAGAACCCACCTTACCCCACGGGTTTGTGTGTGACAAAGTCCTGAAGTCATTAACACTAAAAACAGTGAACTTCAGTGTGATCAAGACTCATTGATTGGCTACCTTGGAAATGTTCAGGTCACAGACGATGAAGTTCTCTAACGTGTAACAAGATACTGCAGCATCTATAAATTCTCCCTACAATGTAAAATGTATGATTGGTATCACAGGTGGCTTCTTCCCTTGGTGAACTTGGAGTTTATTTTTTCAGTCCCTGCTTTCTTTGGAACTGGAATTATTAACAACTTCTAAGTGGCTATTGTGAAACCTTTCCTTGTTAAGCACGTTCTCCTAGCTTATTTTAATTTTGCATTTTGTTGAATGTGCCGACTTCCTCTGGCAACGTGTAAAATTGCCGGGCGGAAATTCTGCACCCAAAGTATCAGGATGATATTCACATTTAAGTTTTTTTTTAGCAAGAGCTTCTCACCAAGGGGCTAAAGCAAAGGTATTCTATTAACTTTTGCTGCCATTAGAGAAAGGCTTAAAAAAAATTTTTTTTTAACAAAGCTGGACCCGTTCGTTCTTTGGAAAGAAAAAAATAAATGAAAACCTTAGCAGTAATTCAAATTAAACACATTGGCACAGATAATTGAGTTTTATTTGTACGTTTCTGGCATGATGTGCTGAGAAATACTAATTCTTTTGACTTCCTGCCAATTTGCTACTAATCAAAATGGAGAAGATATGCACTGTTTGGATTATACCTAAAAATAGTTGTGCTACAGTCACATCAGCAAGTGGAATTAAATTAATTTCTCTTTCTTCCCCTTCACACACCCCCTCCACATTAAATTTCCATCTAGAATATTGCTCCCACATCTTCTAATTTGTGATTCAGTAGGTCCCAAATTGTATTGCTCCATTGCAATAATTTTTAAGCAAACTCCATTGAACTACTTCCTGAGAAATACACCTCTCCTGAAATCCCCCCTTTTACCCTGCTCTAAAGGATCTCTACTAAATAGCTCTTATCGTGTAATCAAAGAAGTATTAATACTATAAATAAATACTTTGTGGATTTCATTTTCCTCATCAATAGTCTTTTTACCTGTTTGAGGGAGGAGGGGGAGAGTTTCTAAATCAATAAGATCTGATCACTTGATGGAGCAGTGACTAAGTTTCCAAACCCGGCTACTTTCGTACGAGACTGG